TCTCTCCTTCCTTCCTTCCTCCTTCCTTTTTTCTCTTTCTTTCCTTCTTTCTTTCTCTTTCTTTCTCTCTCTCTCCTTCCTTCCTTCCTCCTTCCTTTCTCTCTCTCTTTTTCTTTTTTTTCTCTCTCCTTCCTTCCTCCTTCCTCCCTTCCTTCTCCTTCCTTCCTTCCTTCCTTCCTTCTTTCTTTCTTTTTCTTTCTTTCTTTCTTTCTCTCTCTCTCTCCTTCCTTCCTTCCTTCCTTCCTTCATCCCACAATGTCTCCCTGGCGGAAGGACCCGGCGCTCAGGGATCCCAGAGCTCATCCATCCTTACTGCCAATTCCCAGGCTGGGGCCAATGCTGCGGGGTGTGTGTGTGTGGATCTTTGCACCTGGGGGGGGGGGGCGAGACCTGCTCAGGGAAGGGAGCCAAACCTCCCCTATGCAAGACACAAATCTGGGGGGGGGGCCCTGGGTGGACAAAGGGCTCAGCACAGACTTGGAGAGCTGTGAATGTGTGAAAAAAAAGGGCATCTAATGAAGGGCACCCCAAAAGCTGAAAAACCGTAATCTGTCATTATGGGCAGTCCTCAGTTTGCAACCCTTTAGGGACCACTGTTCAGAGTTACAACAGCACTGAAAAAAGTGACAGGACCGTTTTTCCCACTTAATGACCGTCGCAGCCTCCCTGGGGGGGTCACGTGATTCAAATTCAGACTCTTGGCAACTGATTCGTACTTGTGACGGTCGCGTCGTCCCGGGGTCACGTGATCCCCTTTTGCGACCTTCCGACAAGCAGAGTCAATGGGGAATCCCGATTCGCTTAACGACCCCGTGATTCACTTAAGAACTGCAGTGATTCGCCTGATCGCTGTACCAGGAAAGGACGTAAAATGAGACACAAAACTCGCTTAGCGTCCTTGCCCAGATGGGCTGGCTGCCAAGGGCGGCTTCTGCCAGATTTATATATCGAACTTACACCGTTGCTCAACTCAGATCCGTTACTGTGGGAGGCTGATGAGATCAAATCCCCACAGGCAGTCCTCAATTTACAACAGTTCTTTTAGTGACCGTTCAAAGTTGCAAGGGTGCTGACTCATGACCGTTTTTCACACCTACAACCGTCGCAGCCTCCCCGGGGTCACACAATCAGAGTTCAGATGCTTGGCAACCGACTTGTACTTGTGACGGTCGCAGTGCGTCCCTGGGTGACGGGATCCCCTTTTGCAACAACCCAAGTCAACGGGGGAAGACGGGTTCGGTTAACGACCGTCTTACAAACTTAACATCTGCAGTGATTCACTTAACAACGGTGTCAAGAATGTTCGTAAAATGGGGCAATGAACAAGTGTTTCACTTAACAGAAATTTTGGGCTTCATACTGAAGTCGTACGTCAAGGACGACCCGTATAGGAAAATTATGACATATTTAGCAGATGAGGAAAAACAACAATCAACACAACCATGTGATTGGGGGGGGGGTTTCATCTCGAGCGGTGTGCCTCCATTCCTGCAAGGGCAAGAGGCGTGGACTTCAACTCCCAGAATTCCCCAGCCAGCCAATCCATGACTTCTGGCTGGGGAATTCTGGGAGTTGAAGTCCACACCTCTCACCCTTGCAGGAATCAAGGACGGGTTTAGGGGGGGGCAAGCTGTCCTTTTGAGTTAGTTCGTGCTTCGGTGCATCTGCCGACCCAGAACTCGGTTCATCCAGGCATGACACGTGTCGTGGGAGTGCAGCAATGCGAGAGGGGGCCAGGGAGGAGAAAGCGCCTCCTGCTCCACAACTTCCCTGCCTTCTGCACCGCTCCCCTGCCCTTCTTCCGAGATCCGTGCAAGCCGCTAAACCGGTGGCACGCGTTCGCACGTACCGCCAGGACACGCGTCGCCGCGCGGCGGTGCCAATCCTCCCCCGCTCCCGCCCCGCCCCTCTCGCTTCCCCCTCCCTCCCGCAAAGCAGCGGGATGACGTAGAGACGTGGGCGTGGCTGGGAAGCGATGGCGTCAGCTGCGCAGGCGCACTAGCAGCCCCGAGGTGGCCAAGATGGCGGCGCCCGTGGCGGCGGCGGCAGGAAGCGCCGGGGCGCCGGAGGAGCTCGAGGCGCCGGCAGCGTCAGTGGCGCCGGCAGCAACGGCGGCGGCGGCGGCGGGGCCTTCGCGTCCGGCGCGGCTGCCGCTGTCCCGGGTGAAGGCGCTGGTGAAGGCCGACCCAGACGTCAGCCTGGCCAGCCAGGAGGCGGTCTTTGTCCTGGCGCGCGCCGCGGTGAGTGGGCGGGGCGGCGGCCCCCGGGCCAATCAGGAACCGGATTGCCTCCGCGAGGGGCGTGGTTTTGCTCTCTCTCTCTCTCTCTCTCTTGTTTTCCCCTGCTCGGGCCGCCAGAGGGCGCAGCTGACGCTCCTCGCAGACTCCGAAGAGGCTCCGAGGCTGGGATGGGGCGCCACTCGGAGATCCCGGGCGGGAAAGAGACAAATGCTGCGCTAAAGAGCAGCTCCGGCTCAGCGGAGACTCGTGCAAGCAAAGCAACCAGCTCAGCAAGCAGACAAAAGTCCAGCTCTAAGCTGCGGAGATTCTCTTGTGCTGCCAATGGGGACTTTTGGCTGGTGGCAGCCTCTTTGCCCGGCCTACCTTGCAAGGAGGAGGCTGTGTTGGCCATTGTGGGGGCCAGGCTTGCTGAGCCAAGTAGGACCAAGAGGCGGGAGCTCCCTTGCAGGGAAGCAGACCCCAAAGTCACCCCCCCCCGAGTGCCTCAGGCTGCCCTTTGCCAGCTACGGGGGGGGGGGGGGGTTGTCTCGGAGGCTGGGAATTTCCCTGCTTCCTCAAAGCACCCTCCCACCACTAGGGACCGCTCCCCTTGGCATCTGCAATGGAGCCATTCAGTGTTTCTTGGCTGATCTGTCTCTTCCTCCCCCCCTTCTGCCTCCCCAGGAGCTGTTTGTGGAAACCATCTCCAGGGACGCCTTCCTCCACACCCAGCACGGAAAGAGGAAGACCCTGCAGAGGAAGGACCTGGGTGGGTCAGCCGCCCCCTCCCCCCTTCTCCTCCTCCTCTGCCTCCTCCGCTCTTCACAAACTCCCCCCCCTCCCTTCCAGCACTGATGATGTTACCTAGCTGGGTCAAGAAAGGTCTGCACGGAAACAGTCAAGCTCAGAGAGCACCAAGGACCCCACAATCTTCCTCCTCCTCCTCCTCCTCCTCCTCCTCCTCTCTTCTAGCACTGATGATGTTACCTAGTTGGGTCATGAAACGTCTGCAAGGAAACAGTCAAGCTCAGAGAGCACCAAGGACACCACAGTCCTCCTCCTCTTCCTCCTCCTCCTCCTCTTCTCCTCCTCCCCCTCCCTTCCTCCCCTCCTCCTCCTTCTCTCCTGCTTAAGCAGGGGGCTGGACTAGAAGATCTCCAAGGTCCCTTCCAGCTCTATTCCATTCCTCATCCTCCTCTTCACAACCCCTCCCTTCTAGCACTGATAATATTTCTGCCAGAAAACCACCAAGCTCAGAGACCACCAAGCATCCCACAGTCCTCCCCCTTTTCCCCCACCACTGACCCACGGCTGGTTAAGGGGTCAGCAAGGACTGGGCCCGTGCAGCTTGGCTACTGCAGGGCCAGCTGAGCCCACCGATCATTTGGGGAGGGGGAGCTTTCATTCTGAAGGGGGTGGGCCAGAGATAACCCCCCCCCTCCCTTTCCCAGCCTCTCACGTTTCTCCGGTTCCCATGAAATGGCCTTCATTTGTGGGTTGGTCATCCATCCGGTCTGCAGGGCGCCTGGCTCTCTCCCCTGAGTGGGTCTGGGCCATGGCAAAAAAAATCCCCTGGGGGGGCAACGTTTCCACCCCGCCAACTGCTGCACACAAAAGCTTGTGTCTTTCAGTAAAATGTGGAGGTTAGATACGGTGCTGAAGGAGTCCATTTTTCCCCAAAAAAAATCTTGCTTTTCGCTTGTTTTAGTTGTGTGCTTTAGGGCTCTGAGCTATGTTTATTTTAGTTTTCTGACCCGTGAATTTTTATTTGTGATTGTTTTGCCACACAGTTTTTTATTATATTTTTTTATTTTGTTCTAAATTTCCTGGAGTCAAAACAATTCGACATCATGCCAACTAACAGCACATCTTAATTTTTTTAAAAAAATGGGTGTTGGTTTTTCCTCCTGCAGACAACGCCATCGAAGCCCTGGATGAGTTTGCCTTCCTGGAAGGTAAGGATACTGTAAAAGACGTAAAAGAAAATATTTGTTAGTGCCCAGATCAGCCAAAGAAACCACCTTCAGGGTGGGGGGTTGTCATTAACGGCCCTATTAAAAGCTTTCACAGGGCCTGTCAATCATCATACTTTGGGGCTGGGATAAAAAGGAGCATAAACAATATATTGGTTTCCAAAAAGGATTGGACTGATTAATGGAGGTTGTGGGGCTGTCCCCAAAGGCTGGTGGGCCATGGGGAAGACTGGCTAATGGACAAGAAGGATTTCCCAAACTTGGCAATTTTTCAGACCTCAACTCCAGAATCCCCTAGTCAGCTTGCTTTAAGATGGGTGTGGACTGCAACTCCCAGAATCCTCCAGTCAGCTTACTTTAAGATGGGTGTGGACTGCAATGCCCAGAATCCCCCAGTCAGCTTGCTTTAAGATGGGTGAACTATAACTTCCAGAATTCCCCATCAAAAATGCTTTAAAATGGGTGGACTGCAACTCCCAGAATTCCCCAGTCAGGATGCTTTAAGATGGGTGGACATCAATTCCCAGAATCCCCCAGTCAGCATGCTATAAGATGGGTGGACTTTAATTCCCAGAATCCCTCAGCCAGCTTGCTTTAAGATGGGTGAAGTTCAACTCCCAGAATCCTCCAGTCAGCATGCTATAAGATGGGTGGACTTCAACTCCCAGAATCCCCCAGCCAGCATGCTTTAAGATGTTGGGATTCAGCCAGTTCGCACTACTTCGGCAGAACCGGTAGTTAATTTTTTGTTGTCCAGGCCCGGAATGGACTTCCGGAAGCGGCATCCACACAGAGAACCGGTTGTTCACCTATTTGAATCCCACCACTGGTGGGACTGCAACTCCCAGAATCCCCCAGTCAGCTTGCTTGAAGATGGGTGTGGACTGCAACTCCCAGAATTCCTGCTGGCTGGGGAATTGTGGGAATTGAAGTCCACCCGTCTTAAAAGATTCCAGTTTTGAGAAACCCTCACCTGGGCCTAGCTCCAGAAACTGTTGGCTGCTTCTTCTCCTCCTTTCCGACACTGTTTGTCCTGTTTCTGGACACCGAGGGTCAAAATCTGAATAAACCCCTCAAGAATTTAAGCGGTGGAAGCTACTCCAGTTAAACGGACAGGAGGCCAGCCGGATAACACGATAGCACAGGGGTAGTCAATCTTGGCTCTTTTATGACGCGTGGACTTCAACTCCCAGAATTCCTGAGCCAGCTTTGCTGGCTCAGGAATTCTGGGAGTTGAAGTCCACGCGTCATAAAAGAGCCAAGGTTGACTACCCCTGCGATAGCAGAAGGAAGCGGAGAAATGATATATTTTGCCAAGGGGAAGAATGGAATTCTCAAAAATGTGTTTTTTTTGGGGGGGTGGGCTTCCAGGAACGCTGGACTGACCCGCTTGGAAGACGCATCCCCGGAAGGAAAGACTGGCGCTGCCTCTCTCTTCGCCCGCCAAGGAAGACCCTCCGAAAGACCCCTTTTGTATAGGCCCAGTTGTGTGATTTGTACATACGCGGTGTAATTTCTCTCAATACATACATGTTTTTCCACATCCGTTTTGTAGTCTGGGTTTTGCATTTATCTGTGGGCATCCACACGGGCGAGGCCTGCCCTCCGGTGCCCGGGTCTGGGGGGAAGCCAGACTTCTTTGGGGAGGGGGGGGGATCTCAGCTGCTGCCTTCTTCCTCCTCCCTCCGCCCCGCGTTTCCTCTTCGGATGCCAGCAGGCAGCTTCGTTCTGCCTTTGCTGGTGGGAAGGGTCTCTGTCTTCAAGCATGTTGCTGACGCTGCCCCCTCCCCTCAGCCTGGCACTCCTGGGCCAAGGAAGGTGGTGCCACGTCACCCGCTTCTGCCTGGTCCCTTTTTGTCAGCCTGATTTTTCCCAAAGGGAAGAGGAGGTGCGGGGGGGGGTGGAGTGGGCCCTGGTTTCAAAACCCTCCCCAAGGAAGACCCTTCCTCTGGTGCAGGAGGGGGCCTGTAAAAGTCAGGGAGGGAAGGAATGAGGAGCCTGAGGGGGGGCAACTTTACCCCCCCCCCCCATCATTGGCATGGCCTCCTGCTGGAGGGTGGCAGAGGGCCAGTTTGGCCTAGGCCAGGGGTGGGCAACCTTGGCTCTTTTATGACTGGTGGACTTCAACTCCCAGAATTCCTGAGCCAGCCATGCTGAGGGGAAAGGGAGAGGTTTCCATGCTGAGCCATGCTGGCTCAGGAATTCTGGGAGTTGAAGTCCACCAGTCATAAAGCGGCCTAGGCCAGAGGTAGGCAACCTCGGCTCTTTTATGACTCATGGACTTCAACTCCCAGAATTCCTCAGCCAGCATGGGGGAAACTTTGGCCCCTTCATGACTGGTGGACTTGGTTTAATTTGGTTTTATCTGGTGGGGGTTGTAAATATGTCTATGTTTTTAAATATGTTGTGAGCCGCCCTGAGTCCCGTTGGGAGAAGGGCGGGATATAAATCAAAATAAATAAATAAATAAATAAACTCCCAGAATTCCTGAGCCAGCCATGCTGAGGGGAAAGAGAGAGGTTCCCAAGCTGAGCCTTGCTGCCTCAGGAATTCTGGGAGTTGAAGTCCCCGCGTCATAAAAGAGCCAAGGTGGCCTACCCCTGGTCTAGACTGACATGATTTGGAGCAGCAGTTGAATAAAAAGAAAAAAAAATAGCCAAGCTATGAAGGATACACTGTGAAGGACGAAGCACTGGCAATTTATTGGTACCAACAAGGTCTTATTATTTAAAGGCCCATACTTGAATCCTGCTATAATCAAAGCAACAGGAGAACAGAGTTGGAAGGGACCTTGGAGGTCTTCTAGTCCAACTCCCTGCTCAAGCAGGAGACCCTATACCAGGGGTAGGCAACCTTGGCTCTTTTATGACTCGTGGACTTCAACTCCCAGAATTCCTGAGCCAGCATGGGGGAACTATGGCCCCTTCATGACTTGTGGACTTCAACTCCCAGAATTCCTGAGCCAGCGTGGCTCAGCTTGGAAACCTCTCCCTTTCCCCTCAGCATGGCTGGCTCAGGAATTCTGGGAGTTGAAGTCCACAAGTCATAAAAGAGCCAAGGTTGCGTACCCCTGGCCTAGTGGTTAGGGCCGAAGCAGACCCTTCTTCTTCTAGGGCAGTGTTTTTCAACCTGGGCCACACTTTTAAGATGGGTGGACTTCAACTCCCAGAATTCCCCAGCCAGGTTGAAAAAGACTGCTTGAAGGTAGCAAAAAACATCCGACTCCCAAATTCGATTCAAAAGGCAGAAGCTCACAAAGGTGGGCTAACCAAAGACCCCCGCCCGCCTTTTAAAATTCCATTCTGTTTCTTCCACCCCATTGGCATGCCTACTGGGCAAATTGAGGAGAAGACCGCCTCTCAAAAGCCACAGGAGACCCCCCCCGACTTTGTGCCCATTGAGTTGGCATTTTGATGCCCAGTGTGCTTGCATCATCAACGCGGGCAGTGGGCAAGGCCTCCGGAGCGCCTGTCTTATGCCCGTCTCCCCAGGGCAAGCAAGAGAAACTCCATGGAGCACAAAACGTGGGGCCATCCTAAAATGAACCTAAAATAATAATAGAAAATGAAATGAAATAAATAAAAAATAAAATAAAAGTAAAATCTATATAAATAAAAATGTAAATGTTCGTTTGTTCAAAATCTTAAATCTCCGAAAGTTCTTCACTGATTGCTTTGAAATTTTGACACAACGTTGCATTGGTACCTATATTATATAGATGTCACACCTGTGACAGGTAAAAAACATGCTTTTTTTAAAAAAACGGCGCCATCTGTCGGACGCTTTGAAATTGCCATTGAACATGCAATTCATTGAAACTCCCACGTGCAACGTTTCCAAAGCATCCGGCATGAGAAAAGTACTGCAGAAATGCAAACTTATTGTTTGGGATGAATGCACAATGGCACATTGAGACTGAGCCACAGCAAATAAAACAAGTAAAAAATAAAATGAAATAGCAGCTGTGGCCAGGGGGGCGTTTTACCGGGTACGCCTGGTACGCCAGTTGCGGCCTTTTCTGGACCGGGATGCTTTGCGCACAGTCACCCATGCTCTTGTTACCTCCCGCCTGGACTACTGTAATGCTCTCTACATGGGGCTCCCCTTGAGGAGCACTCGGAGGCTCCAGCTAGTCCAGAATGCGGCCGCGCGGGCGGTGATGGGAGTGACTCGTCGCTCCCATGTAACACCGCTGCTGCGCGAGCTGCACTGGCTGCCTGTGGCCTTCCGAGTGCGCTTCAAGGTGTTGATTATCACCTTTAAAGCGCGCCATGGCATCGGACCTGGTTACCTCCGAGACCGCCTTCTGCCTCCGATTACCTCCCACCGGCCGATACGCTCCCACAGAGAGGGCCTCCTCAGGGTGCCGCCAACCAGACAGTGCCGGTTGGCGACCCCCAGGGGGAGAGCCTTCTCTGTCGGAGCGCCCACCCTCTGGAACGAGCTGCCCCCAGAGATCCGGGTGATTCCGGATCTCCCCTCCTTCCGCCGCGCCCTCAAGACCTGGCTGTTT